GTTGTCCTGTGGGTAACTGACTCTCTAGCAGTGAGTCCCAGAAGGAAAAAGCTTTCCCTTCAAAAGCATTCCCCCACATGTAAAGAACCCCCGCCTTGAAATTTAATCTAAATAGGGTTGCAAAATTTAGTCACATTCTTTTTATTACATTGCTAAGATAATAAAGAGACTACTCCCCAGTGGACTTCTGTGCCTGCCTTGAGGTCACTTCATTTTGTTTCCCACTCGAAGGCTGTTAATAAATCACCCTCCAGCTGAGTACAGCTCAATGCTGAAGTACTTAGCTTATCTGACCTTCACATTAATTATTTTTATTACACCAGCAGAAACTTTAATGTTCCTTTTCCCCTTCTCTGCACAGCCACATGGCCCCGGAGTACACCCATTCCTCTCGTGATGCAAAAGGCGGGGGGGCCCCTTAAACACCTACATTGCTAAGTTCCCTCAAGTGTGCTGACCCACACCCAAAGTTCCGCCAAAACAATAGTTTTAAGGGGCTTGTGTGTGAATGAGTATTTTTGAGATGCCATTAAAATTCTTACAAAAACTGAAAGTGAAATGAGGAAGGCTGATTGAGCAATCGGCTAGAAGGGCAAATGCCAGGAAGACCTATCATACAGTAGGAGCAGCGATGCCGCAGGACCCGGAGAAGAAAATTCAGGAGAATTCTCCTAAGGGCAAGAGCCTAGCGGGCCCATGTAATCAATGTAGGACATCAGCAAACACAGATAACAGGAAATGATCCATTCCCTGTGGTCACTTATTCTAAAGACCCAAACTTCAAAGCACAAGGAGTGAAATGGATGACTCCATAGAAGGGGAGCAGTCTCGCCTTTCTTCTTGTCTTAAGGGAAGAGAAGAAATGAAACGGAAGGAGTGTGTCTCCATCCTCCCCCAGAAGGAAAGTCCCTCTATCCGATCCTCCAAAGATGGAACGCTGCTGGCCTTAACCTTGCTGCTGGCCCTGGTGTCCTGCTGCCTCACGGTGGTGTCTTTCTGCAGGGTGGCCACCCTGCAAGCGGAGCTGGGGAACCTCCGGGCTGAACTTCGGGAGCCCCCAGCTAAGCAGCTGCCAGGACATTCCCAGGCGGGAGCCGCAGCCCCCAGGGCAGCTGTGCAGGGGGCTCCAGCTGCCTCCGCTGCACTGAAAGTAAGTTTGCAGCAGCTGCAGCCCCAGGCACAGTTCCCCCACAGTGTTGCCTCCCCCACCTCAGATGCCTTTGCCATAACTTGGATTTTTTTTTTTTCTCTTCTTAGGGGATCTTTGCAGCAGCAGCTTTAGGAAACAGCAATGCCAGTCAAAGCAGCAGGAATAAGCGTGCTCTTCAGGGTCCAGAAGAAACAGGTACGTTTTGGACACAGAAGCATTTAGTAGTCAGGG